TTTGGCCTTGATAACTACTTCTTTTCCAGATGTTTTTTGCTACAAAACACAGAGTTATTAATTTCGTATCCTAATAATTTCCTCTTTGTGTTTGAATAAAATACTTTGATCTAAAAATGTAATAGAGGGGAAACAAGATTACATCGAAACAAAATGTGAGATGATTTATTTACGGTAATGTATAAGTATAGAAACTTAAATTTAATCAACACCATAAAGGCGATATGAACTATTGGCTAATTAAAACAACCAGCTCAATGTTTAGGAAATGGATAAATATTAACGGTTCTAGATAACTTAAAGTTAGCGACACCTGGTAGTTAAACTGATGATGAATGAATGAAGTATGCACCAAACAAATGTTAGTCTATGCATAATATGGGTATGCTTCGAGGTGTGTAATTATGAGAACGTAGCCTAAAAGGAGCATCCCTAAAACTTTAGTAAAATTGAAACAAGCTTTCACAAATGTCATGTGCATTGAAAACAAACCACTATAACCCTTGACCGATAAACTTCATACTGCTATTGTCTTCAGTAAGACACAAAACTAAAAAATTGTATACGATCAAAAAATTAGGTGACGGAAAGACAGCAAGATAAACCTTCATCAATCTGACATCAGTGTGAAGATCTACTGTACTGCACTGCACTGTACTGCACTGTACTGTGCTGTTCTCAGCATAAAGCGTGAACAACATCCGGATTCTCAACACTAATGCCAGTCACTCAAGTCAGTGCTTCCAAAAGATGGTTCAGAGACTTGATGTGTTACGAAACGCATTTCCAACATACATCACACATACATCAACAGCTACCAACTACACTCACTCCATACTGAAGACCAGATCAGAAAGTCACAAAGACTAAGCAACCAGGAACTCCGGTCTGGTAACGAACCAACCACTAACCCATCACTCAGCAGATATCCAGAAGAAAGTTAACTATTATTAAGCAACTAGTTTGTATGACTTGCAGCTGCTATTATAGTCTAGTAGCGTCTTTCTTATTGCAATACAACTATGAAGCAGGTTATAATGCCTATGAAAGCCACTTCATATCCAGTTCTTTTTAAGATTGCGAAGAAAGAGTTGTTACATGCCTTTTTAATAATTATGAACGTATTGTAAAATACATACAACTAGATTACCTATTAATAGTGTTCGTCAATCAAATTGAATTAAATGATGATCAGTTTTGATCTATTCACAAAAATTCACACTGGAAACTTTTGAGTTCGAAAAAAGATATTTCAGTGAATCCTCTAAGTATAATTACAAGTTTATGCGAAACGCAATAAGGAAAAACTAAACAATTACCTTCAAGCTTCAAACTAGCTGTGAAACAAATTCAACAGTTTAGAATCTTCTATCTAAATATTACTTAAGTTCTGCACATAGTGATGAAGAAAATTAATTCGAAAAATATTTTTATAAGATTTATCAGGATAAATAATAAAAGAATACTTGAAAGCATATTAAAATGTTCAAGAGGGTGCATAAAACGTTTCATCTAACTCAATGTAAGTAGCACATTTTGCTATCCGGCATGTAAAAGAATCTTAATAAAAAAGCACTTTTTAATTTTAAGGAGTCGAAATGCAGAAGTTGCAAAGCCATCTAACATAAAAAGAGGCATGCGTTTTAAAAAGAATTTTATCACAAATTCATCAAATCATAATTTTTTTCCGATATTGAAAGTAACTTGTGAAACTAACGTAAATGATTCGCCTACGATCTGCAGTCACTTGAATTACTATACAATTCAACAGACGATTTGTATAGATGGATTGATTTCCGATAATTTTTCATCTCGATATGATATCTATTACAGGAAGATGGAAAACGTGCGAGCAGACTACATTTGTTTTGTCTTCATCAGTGATCTAACTGAAAGAAATAGTAAATTTCAGACCACTGGACTCCAACTTCATGGCAAAATGGTACCATGCTCACCACAAAGCTTGACTGATGGTCTTCCAGTCTATTACCCCTATAGTTGCGAGTATGAATGGCTGGAGAGTCCAACACTAAGAAAAAGCAAGTATCCGGTGCTTCCAGATATTCAGGGGTTCTTGAGATGACAGTAGTCCTGGGTGGAAAATACCATCAAATTACATAACGACTTAGCTTCGAAGTAATAAGAAGTAAACGGAAGACAAAACAATAAATTCATACTACTTATGATATACACATATATTATGACATTTATGCCCAAGCACAAAAGCTTATCAAAAAAGGTAGTGATAGACTCCATTATGACTGGTGATTCAGAGAAAGTTCTACTGTAACCATACATGCAAGTATACAATATTATGAGACAGAATGACAATCCTTACAATTACATCAGTGTGGTTGAAAGAGAGATTAATAGCCAACTTATTATCGAATCAACATCAAATACTGGCAACAGGGATTACTCAGTGCATATTCCAGATACATAGAACATTCTTCAGAATGTATTACTGTATACACCGGGGTTTCATTTGGTAAACATTTCGAAGTCATACCAAATCTTATCATCAGTCCATGAAAGCTTCTTTATACAGACAACTAAAATCCTCACAGTTCACACTGAGCATTCTTACTTTGAGTTTATAAATATTTATACCGGTAGTCGCTGGTTCGAATTTTACTACGGTTCTAATTTTAACTTCATCTTCGGTCATCGTTTAGTAAAAATACTAGTCTTCTAAACTACGGCTATCTCAAATAGTCGAAATTATAAATATTAGTCACAATGGGGAATATTATGCAACCTACATCATAGAGAAACATAAAAACCTAGAAGTATGTAGCTCATGTCAAAAAGTTGATTTATTTTGGAATTTTGGTAGACAATAAGTCGTGTCCGACACTTTATCTAGCGTGTTGTACTACTTTACTATGTGATACGTTTAATAAATTTACTAAAATGAAAACACAATTAAAGACAATGACGCAGAATAATTCTTATTTTGAGAAGATAAAATACTCATATAGTAAAACAAATAAAGTCAAGTGAATAATGAATTTTTTTACAACCACCTAATTCATTTAAATTAATTCACGTTATTACATGTCGTTAAGTAACATATCAAATCGAATTTTACAGATTTCTATATGAAAATTGGCAAAATACGTGTATACCTTAGGAGGACCGTTTCTTGTGGGTTGCACGTATGTAGCATAAATTCCAAATCCAAAGTAAACTCTTAACTTTGAACTACATTCCACTGAGAGCGCTATTAAAGTATCATCACCGAAAACAGGAATGTACCGGAACACAGCCTCAATTAATATATTCAAGGCAAGAAGATGCAGAATTAGATGTATTGGGTTACATTCTGTTGGAGATAAATAATTTTAAATACCCAGAAGTCCTTTTAATGTAGAATATCGTACAGCATATAGTTTTAATTTAAATAAACTCCAGAAAATTCATTAACCGGCTAAAATTTTAACATCTTTCTACATGCAACGTTATAATTCCTTCTGCTACAACACTATTCCGCTTCCAAGAACAATTTTATTAATAATTGTAACTATAAATATTTCGTAAGAGTTGACATACTAAATATAATACTATTTACAGAGTTTGTGTGGTGCAAAATTTTGAAATAAGACGTCGATTGATATAATCCTAAAAATATGATATTTCCGCCAATTATTACCAGAGTATGCGGATTGAAAAATGCCTGTTATTCGTATGTATGAAACCCAGACAGCGTGAGTGTGCATTGTAAACACATGAGGAGGTAATGCCTGGAAGTTGATCGGAACCATTCACTTAATTACGAATACATTGACTTCATCAAGACACTTATTTTACATTAGTTCCGACAACTAGTGAAAAATGATTAAACAGATAAGATAAAAACTGTTCATCATTTAAGTTCTTTTACTAGTTAGAACATTTTTTTCCCTCAATATTAGCTCATTGTATGAACTTCTCTTCTTAGTTATAAGTCAACACATAATTTCTTACGACCTATAAAAAACACTGAAGTAACTCTTTATAGATCCTCATAATAACATCTAAAAATATTAAGTGAAATGAATACAGAGTACTAAAATACTTGATAAAAAGGACTTCGAGGGCAAAGTAAAGATTAAGTACACTACAAACTGATGGCAGAATTAAACTTTCCATTTAATTTCAGTAGGTAATTAGGCCTGAAACCAGTAAAGTGGAATAAAAAACACTAATAGGAAATTGAGGGTTACACGCCTAAAGTGTCATGGTTGTCACCTGATGACCTTACTTACCATCTGAATAAAAAAACTGGGTACGCAGAGGAAGCTGTGTTCATATCAAGGTCCTTCAATTACTATGAAGAAATCTGACAGAAAAACAAAAAAAACTACAATAAGATTTCCTTTAGCGAATGGACACTTTAAGTGCAACGTCATAAACTTTGAGTTTTTCTACGAAAACTTCCCGAAGGTATTCAACAAGTTTGTTGTGGCTGTTTTTGATCGACAAAACATATGTTCACTATGTATCAATCGAAGCAGTAAACTAGTCAGGAAATGAATAGAATAATATCTGATAAATTCGTCGAAAATACCGCTCACACCAATGAAATTTCTATTTCAATTACAGGACATGTTACGTAATCTAGATGTGCCATTAGTTGTCTGACATGTGTCATTAACTTTAAAATAAATGATAAAAACTGTTCAATGGGAGTTACTTATCCTGAATTACTAAAGAGTATAACGTTTACTCCAAAATTTATTCTCTAAACGCACTCACAGTCATTCACTTTTCACGCAAGCAACTATATCCTATCAAATTTCCGCAAGTACAATCTAGAAAGTGCTATTTATAGCATTAACGACAACTCAGTGAAGATTACGAAATAATTTACAAGTGTTTATAAAATATTTGATGTTAAATTAATAAGGAGCTGACTAACAGAAGTTAACACAACTCCCCTCTTAATTATATATAAAAAGCTTGCAAACTGTGATTGACGATAGCCAAAAATATTTATAAACCGAGTAAATAATGATTACCTCGAAAAGCTGAATTGCTTATTTCTGTCTGAGTTAGCATTACACAAAAGAATAAAAAGGTTTTTATATTTTAATGTTAAACTATCCGCCCACTCATAATCCTTCCAATCAAAATTAAGATTATTAATATGGGTGGAAGTAATTGGACATTCTGTTTAACGATGTACAAATGGTGCTCGAAAGATTTAATGCATTAGGAACAGTTGAGATTATGTTTTGAGTCCATTCATCCTTATTTATTTGAATTTAATGATTGAGAAAAATATATCAATTGAAAATGACAGTAAAATATCAAGGTGAAATAGATCACCTAAATTTCTCCGATAGTATCACTAGGTTAAGTGTTCAATTTCTACAATGCATGGAACATCTACTGAAGAAAAAGTTGCACAATGAAATGCAACGCTTGAAATATGAAAACATCTCTGACCTATTAGTATAATGACTTTCGAATTTTCAACAGAAATAAGTTATCATATCCATACAAGCGCACTATTATGAATCTGACTGATAAAATCTTTTACTTTTCTGTAAGACAATGTTCCTCCTTCGCTTAGACTGTACACATAAGAAAAACTTATATAACGTACATTATTAGTACAAGAAACTCTAAAAATGCTAACAGAATTTTATGAAAAAGAAAGGAAACTTTAATCATATTAAAGGCATCTCCGTCATTCAATATGTAAGACACCTGAGAAGCTGTTGCAAATTGGCAGCTGTACCGCAAGTCAAACTACTGAAATTGCATAATATCTGCTATATATATGAAAGAAAAATAATATTTGGTTACACTTAAACGTCCAGCCGTTTAAAAGCCACTTCAAAGTATGATTTTGAGACAGTATGGCATTTATCCTTATTTATTCAGTAAGGTGTTACGTTAGGTATAACAATTAGTTTGCCCAAAAATTACATGAAGTTGAATTAGTTCCGTCTATCAAGAACCTCTTGCGCTCATGGGCCTACATTAGTGCGTTCATAATACAGCGTCTTTAACAAACAGTTTTTATCCTCATTATTAACATGCTTGAGCAGTTAAGTTCACGCGCTTAATTTTATCTGTGAGTTAACCACACCCCTGACTTCCTAGCTGCTATAAAAGAAATATATTCTATAAAATCTCAAGAAAGTAGAGAAATAAGTTTAAAACTTTTTGCGACCACGTTAAAGCCACTGCACCAGAGAATAAAACCTGTATAGTTTATCATATGTTTATTTAATAAATGAAGACAAACCAAATGACATTATTCATATGACAATTATGCGTTATCGTAATCAGTCATTCAACCGTGAGTTCAAGGTCAAGATGTGAACATGATTGCATGGTTGGATTGTTGTGGTGTGAGAAAAACAATATAGGTAAGAAATTCATTTGGTTTGTGTATATGTGTGCTTTATTGATAACTGGTGGATGAAAGGCGTTATTTCAGACATATTGTACAAGTTGGTTGACTAGTAAGGTCTTCCCATCCGTTTAGTGCATTGCCATTTAACATGACGTCCAATGCCTCGTCTATCCGTCTTTATAGTTTAAAAATTCTTTACGAATACTCTTAAAATGTTCAAAATCCAGTCCTACAGGATTATTTGGAGGTCGTTTTGTGTAGGTTGTGTATTTTTTCAACATGAATAAGGATTTCACGAGATGATTAACCAATGCAGTAAGTATCACAGCTTAATCTGTGTATACAATTCTGAGTAGAGGGGAAAAATGCGATCACTTGTACGTGTTAGTATGTGGAGAAAAAGGCTTCCAAGAAGTTACGAAACGTCAGAAGTTTATTTTTCTACCTCAATGAGACCTTACAGTTAAATTTGTTTTTATAACTCATTTATCCAGTGCTCAACTTGACCAGCTTTATCAGGTCAAATTTTGATCCTGAACTTAAAAAAATACCTGGTTATTGTTTAGAATTTCCCCATAAATAACTTTCTAGTAAACAACTCGTGCAAATAATTACGGTTCATTAGTTTAAGCTTGATAACTGCATTTATGTATGACGCTCGATTATTTCATATGAGGTAGAACAGAGATTTCTTATTAGTGTCAAGCTGATGGAATTATTTAAATCCAACATATAAGAAAGACCTGAAGAGTACTTCTTCTTTTCAATTATCAAACTGGTAATACAACTAGTTAATGTGACACATTGCAACATAATCAGCATAAAAACACTGTTATGTGAACACAAAAATAGGTCAGTAAACAATCTATCCACTGTTGAATAACGCTAGTCGGTAAAAGTGACTCACGTTAACCTTTAGATTTTGCCGACCAGACCAGCTTGATCTAAATACTTTGTGATCATGGTTAAGTAGTTTCGAACGAAAATCTTATTGACGCCACAATTGGGCAGTGGAAACGTTAATCAAATATGAAGAAAACGAACGTGGATTATGCTGTGAAAAAAATTTGCGAAGTGAATATGTTCATTTTGGAAACTACTACAGTCAAAAACTAAAGACTACAGTTTTGACACACTATATGGCTTTTTTTCTGAATCTCCTACCATTTGAGGCAAATTTATCCAAAATTTAATGAAGCATTCATATCCTTGACAGTTTTAAGTATGACGTTCTACAGTACAATAATCGAAATCTCCCCATATTGAAAAGTGTATTCAACAAAACGACTATTCACAACAGGGCATATTTAGTGTAATGTGATTGACAAATTAAGTATTCTAATAATAGTTGAATATGGTAAGCGTGTAATGGGTTCCATTATATGCTTTCCATATCTGGTAATTCTTTGATATAAACAGGATTTAATTTAATTCACTTTTTAAATACCACATGTCAAGTCCGATAGAGATATGAATTAGTTAAATTCAATGGAACTATGATCTGAAAAAAATGCGTGGTGTAAATATTTCCAGTTTCTAAATCAGCCTCTTACAAATCAGTACAAAGTAATTGAGCGGAAAAAGTTTTTCGTTTCAATGAATCATTTTCAGTAACCACAAAACTGTATTTACAACAAACAATAACAAATAAGCCAGTCTATGAATGGCCATTGTGTCAACATTATTTCATAGAAATAGTAAGTTGTTTCTTTAGTTAAAGATTGCATAACTATGGGATGTGTCAGTAAAAATATGCAGTTGATTACGGTATTTATCACTGGGTTAATAGAATAGTGATGAACAATAGTTGGAATAGGAAGTCAAAAGAATTTTATTGGAAGATCGAAACTAAAGTTACAATGTAAGAGCTATGACGATGATCAGTCAATAAGAGTACAAAAACTTTTATCGGAAAGACAATGGAATCCCGGCGGAGTCACCACTGGACCTTCTTCTAGCCTGTTATTTCATAGCTAACTTGAAAAACACTACACCATGTCCAATAATCGATCAGTTTTGTAAATGAACAGGATACATGGATAATCCTTTCATCATCTCAATGTCATGCTTCTAGGATTTACTGATTAGTATTTCCTCATTAATTTTACAACAGAAGCTTAGAAAAACTCAGCATTTCACTTTCCAATTACTTCATAAAAGAGTAAACCTAATGTCTCTTTTAAAAAAGTTAATTTAAAGGAAATCAACTTGAAATGAACAGTATACTAAGTTCCGCGAACGGGGACCGCTCAGTCAAAAATAGACTTGGTTAATTCGCTTCGCACAAAAACAAGAAGTTGCACAGATGACACAGTAAGTTAAAGATTGAAAAGTATTTGAAAAAAACTCTCCCGAAATTCATTGCGAAAAACGCCTAGTAAAAACAGCAACCAGAATAAGTCTTTACTGCTTTTAAGATCTTATCAGTGAATAAGTAATTCTCAATGGACGAGACTGCAAAACTGTTGAAGAATCAGATTCCGTGCTGCCAAACTATGAATAGACTTTTTCATCACACAGCTGACTAAGAAGACATAACAGTAAACTACTTTATAGGCATTTCTATCGGTTTACCTGTTTTTCTGGAGCGGGTTATGTACATCATATGAACAGCAGTCTTTTCAGATGCATTGCCAAGCACTGTCGTTTATGTATAACCGAGGTGGTGGCAATTCAGTATTTATTATCCATGCGGTGTACATTAAAGAAGTACACATTCGACCTATTATTCAACCATGGTCATGATCTTCCTTTGATTTTATTCACTGCTTCGAAATACACCTTAATTCAATTGGCTTATTGTTGTCATGGCTCTCACACTATGGCGTACTTTTCTACAACTATACACGTTACTTCTAACTTCCTATTGGAATTCTTTTGTAATTTCACCTCGACTATTATTCGTTATTATTTCATTAACCTAACTATCATCACTGTGATCGACTGTATTTATTTTTATCTATACTACAATTACGTAATCCCCAACTACAGAAACAACTCACTATTTTGTCCCAGAACATGCGTTTTTGACAACTAAATTTTGACTAATTAGCCAATATCAGATTGATTCGTTTGCTGCTTTTTGTTGTAAATACAATTTTACGGTTACTGAAAATGATCCATTGAGAAAGGAATTTTTTTCTCTGAATTACTTTGTACTAATTCTTGCAAATCTTTTCTGCCGACAATGCGTTTATGTGGATGGTATTTTCTTCAAGAAATATTCCCTAAGATCTTCATTTTATCAGTATTATCTTTATCAAGGCACTTCGAATTTTTTCGACATCAATAATTTTCGTTGTTCTGCACAAAGAAGTTTATCTAAATAATGTTCGATGATCAAAAGACCCACTCTTATTCTAAAATAATTAAACCATAGTAGAAGACAGCAAAAAACTGTTACAACCATATACTCAAAAAATTTGGAAAAAAATATTTGAAGTAAGTTCCATAAGAAATAAATACTATATCACATACACTTTCATATTCAGCATGCGGTTAGTGTCTGAACCAACTTAACTGAATGATACTCAGCTTTCAGGTAGACAGTACTAGTTCTATGTTTGTTCGGAATATACGTGCATTGATGAATACTGTCTAAAGTCGGAAAAGCTCATTTTGACTGGGTGTATTTATATATACAACAATCTGTTGAAAATACTTTTAAACCGTATGAAAAATGTGTTAACTGG